GCGAATCCACAAAGAGCTTGTTTTGCACCGGTCATTGGGTCACATATATATATATATATATATATATATATATATATACCATAGCAGCTCCAAACCCTTGATCCCTCCTTCCGAGTATGAGAAGCTCCCAAGAAGAACCCGCAGGCAACTCGTCACGACCATTCGGATCAGAGTGGTCAAGAGAAACTTTCCTAAAAGGACTATTTCTGGTAAAAAGCGGAATAATTCGATATGAGCTACCAACTTCAAGCGGAAGAAAGCCTGTTCCCTAACAACCAGTGTTCAAAAATTTTCTTTGGGCTGAAAAGCATGCTGAACTGCCATTGAGACGTTCCTTTTTCTTTTACTTTTCCTTCCTTCTAATCTTATCTAAGCGGTTCTTAAAAGAATGAAGTTCAGTTGGCCCTCGTTCGACTTGACGCGGACAGGAGCGACCAGTCGGTGTTTGTTCGACGGTTTGTCGCGTGCAAGTGTATAAGAGGCCCTCACGCACGACTGGCATTATGCATGAACGTTTCCCGTGAAAAAAGCTGAAAAATACAGTATGAAAGCCAGTGCCGACACAGTAAATATTTTCTGTGCAACTACAGATAACACAGTTTGATTTGCGGCACGATTGAGCAATGTTTTTGCAAACCATCGAGTTTGAGGGATCGACCGATCCTATGCGGATCGAGGCCTACCATTAGCTGACTTATAAAGCTATCCTGAAGCATCACATCATGATTCAGCTATTCAACCTAAGTCTTCTGAAGTAGTTCGTGACTCGCTATACCACTATCCCAGGAAAAGGCGTCATCTCTGAGGCGTGGTTCGTAAGTTGCGGTATGTACAAGCAAGCTCGCTGAATATTTTATTTTTATTTTTTATATATATCTGTATTTCGGCTTGGTACTTGGTTTGTGAATGTTTTCATTTTTTGTTAGCTGTAATTTTAGTAATTATCGATCTATATGAATTATTTCTGAACTACTTTCTGAATAATTTTTTTACAGTATTATAGGGCACTGCTGAACATGCTGGGTTTGATCCGATAAAAGAATCTATGTATATCCTTTTTGAAAACTTTCAATGACAGATGATTTGCAGATTGCTGCTGGATAAAGCGCCTATACTTCGCGAGTTAGCGTCAAGACGTGGTGAGACTCCCGCTCATTTGGCCGTCGCTTTTGGAGAATTTCAAGTGGTTGAACTACTGTTGTCGGGTCGATCAAAGCACGTCAAGAAAACTGCACTGACCAGGTATGAACTACGGCTAGCATTTAGACAGAGCTAGTTTTGACCGAGTTCTAGGGGTTAACAAATGATGAAACGGGAGCTAAACATGGCCGAGGTTTTACCGTTGAGAGTATGTCTAGTGGAAGTACCGTATTCTGATAGCCGAGATACAGTGCAACTTACCGTAATCCAATAGGCGTTCGAACCTTGGAATCGCGCATCTGATTAGCTATAAGGATACGGTGGTTGAAAGGGATATAAATTTATACGTCTGGCTTGCTGTGATTTCCCCTTGAGAGGAACGTGCCCCTTAGTGGAGTCTTGTTGCAAACCTATTTAGTCTACCCAGAAGTAGGGGATAAGCAAATCAAATGTGTGTCAATGACCAGCTTACGTAAGGTGATGAACTTATTTCGTTTCAGTCATTCACCCCAATTGTGTGATCTGTGAAAGGTTCTATTCTGCACCCCATCAATTTGCAGGGACTGCAATGGCACATCCATCATGATTGCCGCTGTTACCTCTGGGAACAACGAAATTGCTTTATGGTTATTGAAACATTTCGGCAAAGACCTGACTTCGCTTCCGAACATCTACGGAATCACTCCATTACACGTGGCAGCGTCTCAAGGTAAGTAAACTTATCTAGTCCTTAAGACCATCACTCTCTACCCGTCGGTAAGTGTCACGCCGGCTAACCCCTAGTTCGTCGGCTCCCACACATTGGTGGCCAGAATGGAGGTGGCGGTCGAGCAGGGGCAATCTGTCTGGGGGCTTACGCGGCTTTCTATTGCTCACACCTTCGGCCTTAGCTTCCCTGTACTCCTATGACGGCTCTCCCGAGTGTTGCCGCTCCGCAGCTTACTGGGTTGGGCCATCCATGAAGAGTTTCCCCAAAGTGCGGGACCTACGGTACCGATGTGGCCTACGCTCATACATGGCAACTTTGAGCTCTCAGATGATTTCAACATCAAGATTCAACATTTTACAAAAATAGACGTTCTAGTTACGCATTTTCAAAGAAGACGTTATTTCAGGTAACCTCGAGTACATTAGGCGTGCCATTAAGTGCGATCCGATGTCAGTGGATGCCAGGGATGTTTTTGGTGAGCCTTTGCTTCGACTGATCCACATTTCTACGTCTTTTTAGAGACCATAAAAGTTAAGGAAATCAAGAAAAAAGGAAGTCCTGATTCTGCTGTTCAAAACTTTTCCTTTTTGACTCGAGCTTCATAATACAAAGGCGAAGAAAATTCCAAAAAAAAAATTCCGGAGTACCATTCAACTTATCGACAATTCCGTATACGTACACAAGGTCTTCTCTAATAAAATGTTGCAATTAGTTTCACATGACTGAATGTAGCTGCTGATTTTTCAGTCTTATTACAGACATTCAAAAGCGTTTCTAGGTTGCACACCATCTGCATATGCAGTACAAGGCGGGTTCCTGAATGTGTTGGAATACCTGGTTGAAACGGCACGAGCAGAATTGGGATGCATTAGTGTGAAAGGTAGCCATAGTTTATGGACAAATAGTAAATTCTTTTATTTATACAATATTAAGTAGGACTCTAGGTTAATCAGTGACTGAATAAATAAAAAGGTGAGTAACTGAATGTGATTCTACTGAACGGAGACCACATTCTCAAAAGATTCAATTTTTTTCCGAAATTGGAAGAGTGGGTCAGGAGGCACCGACTGCAGGGTGCAGAATCGGGTCAGTGCCCATAGCATGCTTAAAGTGCCTCGAGCGATGGCGTTTTCGCTCATGTTACTCATAAAGGTCAATGGAGAAGTCCTTGTTGTCGTCACTAAATCTTAGGTCAGGGGCCTGGTTTACGTGGGGTAAAATCTCAACTGCTACAAATCGATGATAGCGCCTCGGCTGCCACGGATACGAGTATGTTACTGTGACAAAAGACGTTATTATCAACCATAGCAGTGAGGGCAGCACCCATGTCAACCAGGTTTTCATGCTCAAGGGTCAGTCAATCGATGTCAGATTTGGGATCTTTTGAAGTGGTTCAAGGAGACAAAACTAACACCTCGCGATGAGGGTGACACTTCGAGGAAACAATGTTGACCAAACACGAGGGATGTAGCAACAGATCTCAATCGAACAGCAGGCTTTTTTCAGAAGTGATGTTTGGATGGGCCGGTTTCAAGCCATCATTGGCCCTGGCACTGCTCAATTTCGTTCTTGACTTGCATGGGGTTTCAGTGTCGTAATGCCGTATACCTTATGGATCACATAATAACTTGCATGGGCTAGGCAACATGGAAGTCAGACAGTTTCTTTTTCCCAGAGGAGTTGGGGTCCACTTATTGTTGGTCATCTTGTACGGTTAGGGGTTTGTTTGACTTCTGTAGGTGTCGATTTGGGATTTGATTTGCGAGCCGTATCCAAATTTTCTTTCGCGAGAACTAAAGAAGGGCCGAGTAATTGGTCCCTTATGAATTTGGCGCAAGAACCAAATCTCCGATCCAACTAATCCAACTAGATTAAGGTTAAAAGTGATCAGATGCGATGTTCCGAATCTCCCAAACTATTATATATTTCATAGTGATTCTCATACTGAGTGAGCAGAGCACTACATAGTTTAGACAGGAATCGATCCAGGGATATGCCTGATATGCTATAAAACCAGTCAATAACTTCCTGGGATCTACCAGAAATTGAGGGTAAATGGAAAGTGAAACTAAGTGCCTCTCTAAACCGGATAAAAATCAGATGGCATCACAGATTGCCACTATCGCCGCTTATTACAAGAGCAGGCTTACTTGAGCATCAACGTGCTCCTCTAACTGTACTACGTGTACTGAGAAGATAAATCTCGAAATATATTCAAATTTGAATTAAGTTATTCAGGTCAATCTCTTCTTCACATCGCATCTCTGTGTGGTGACGAGAAAATCGTGCAATGGATTCTGAATCGCTCTGGGACTCACATGACACTTTTGACAACTGTGGACAATTCCAATGCTCTGCATTGTGCTGCTTGTAAGAACCTTTTCAAACGTTTCTTGAGTAGGGATGGTGTTCTCGAGAACGTCAAGTAGTCGGGAATTCCTGCTGATCAAGCCATCTGGACTTCAACATAAACCGTAAAGCTTTTTAGGTATTTCAGTGGTAAGAGGTGGAAGGCATTGCCGATCCCTTCCAAAGAAACAAACGTATTGGAGTCTATTTAGAGTCTTCGTGGTGTTTGAATGCCTATAATACTTATCCAATAACCTGCAGTTGGTACAGTGGGTAGGCGATGTAAAAGCCAATGCTTTTATCTTCCAAGGCGAGTCTGATACCGGTTAACCTACCCCAGAGGGATATAAAGCTCGGTTGGTTCAGGCATGTTCCGGTCAAGAATTCGATCCCCAGATCATGCGTGTGATAGTGCGTCTTTTGTCAATGCACTACAGTCACCCTAATGTATGATATTTTGCAATAGTGGTGCAAACTTAGATGTGGTGGTGTCTAAATGTTTGAGTCCAAACTTAGCTTGGACATACAATTTATCGTATGAAAAGGCCTTCCACAGACTCAATCGAAAATTCCAACAAATATCGGTGGCATGGCGCACTCCAACAGTACTACCTCTTTTTTATTGGAACTTTTTATTATTAAGGCCTAATTCAGACTGTGGTAGTGTACCGGTGTTGCGTATACTGCTAGAACCATGGTCTCGTAAGAAAAGGAGGATCATTTTGGCTCTGAAAGACAGTCGTGGGAATACACCTCTTCATCTGGCAACTATAAACGAACACACGGGAGCAGTTTTATTTCTGGTAATCTCATTTTTCAACATATTCACGTCCCTCCGTGCTATCTCGTCCATGTTCTCATCAATGAGAGCTCGACTGAATTCTTGAATCATTCGATTATTATAAAAATTTGGGTTTTTTTTTGTCAAAGGGCTTAAGTTCCCGGCTCCTTTCTCCCCAAACTCTCTCATTTGTCATTATCTGAGTGCTTGTGATCATGAAGATTTTGTGAACTACAGTTCGTAGGAGCATTGTAGAGCTGTTCATAAGTTACGGTCTTGCAGTTCGATATTCCATTAATGGGGAGCCCGCTACGGTATGACAGACCCATTACCGTATTGGTTGTACATCACACTTGAAGCCGTTTAAAAGCTGATTCTCATTTCCAGCTCAACTCGGACGCGGACGTGGAAGCAATCAACGCTTGTGGTTTCAGCCCCCAAGCCATTGCCCTCAGGAAAGGCAATCAAGACTTAGCAACCCTCATCGGTGAATATACCGGTAGGTACCTGTGCAGGTTCGGCTTTCCTTCTAGTTATTCTCGAAAGTCGTTCAGGCAAGAATAAAACCCTGCCGTCGAGACCTGCACGTTCGATTGATTCTCAACTACTCGGCACATCCGTCAGTAGTCGATGTCAATCAATCCCGCTCTCGCCAATGCCTAGGCGAGCCTCATCGCCCCAGCCCACTCCAAGATGTTCTTCTGTCGAGAAGACATCTACGTACACTGCGTCAGTTTGACTTTTTCATTTTGTAGGCAATTCTTATCAACTCTGACCTAAAGACACTCTTATATATACTAATATTTCTCTATTGGATCTATTTCTTGCTGGTTTCGCTTGAACTTGCCAGGTGGTTTTCTGATTAAACAAGTGGCGTAGATACCTTCGGGAAGAAATCCTGAATCCTCAGCCTTCCTCGTCAACCACTGTGAATACGTAAAAATGTAGAATTAGAAAGGTCTTTGCTATATTAATATCAGATTTCAGGTTAAATTAAGTTTTCATTTGAATATGACTCATTTTCAGGATAGACGGAACAAAAAGGATTTCCCAAGCTGAGAACTGCACCAAGAATGAGAGCAGCTCCTTGAAAGAAGCGACAGATATAGCAGCTGGAGGAAGTTTCACGGATTTAATGAAAGTAAGCCTGGCAAAAACGATTTGCATGGCGCAACCCGGCAGAGGACTAAGCTCGCCTGTGAATGCTTCCTTTTTTCGACGATGGTTAGCACATTTGGAGCAACCTATATGACTTACTCCTGGCGGGTATTATAGAAATGACCAATAACTGGGCTTGACTTCAAAGAATATTTTTGTTGTTTCCCAATAGGTTTTTTCCTCACCCCGAACGTGCTCCAAGCGGTGGTCGCAACGATCGGTGACCGACAGCAGTTATATCAGGCTTCCTTGCTGCTCTATGGCCTCATATATGGTTGAGAGGGGAGCAAATCATAAAGAATGAGAGAATAGAGAGAGGAGATGAGAGTCCTTCATTGAAAGCCGTGACGAGTCACAGGCAATCCACCGGGAACACTTGAATGCGGGTTTCGAGCGGCTTCGGGTTACTTGAAGACAATGAACGCACCGAGTGTGACGTCTTCAGGACTACCTTGTTCTTCCTTCTAGGTACCTTGTTGGTTGGACTTTACTGTAATGCTTACCGCAAAGACTACCGGATAGATCATATTACAGAGTATATTTTTGACCATGAAATCCAAATTTTCTTTTTCAAAAACTTAATTTTATTGTCACTTGTGAGCTTTACTGGGTGTAGAAAGGAGTAAAGTCGAGGTGAGACCCCATTAGGCGAGAATCGTTAGTTGAGCGAGAGCGCAGACGGATGGGGAAAAAGTAGGTCCTGTAAAGAATAGTCGCGAAGCCGCACTATCACATTCAATATTCTATCACACTGCGGGTCCATATAGAAACAACTTGGAGGAAAATTGGAAAACATTTTTTCGCCCATACAATGTCCTCCCAAACTTCTTTTACCCGAAAGTTTGAAAATATGATGAGGTTTCGAACGATTTCCAAGAACGCGGCTGAATTTTTTCAGGACCTTGACGACGAAACCTGGACCGGAATGGGACTATCAGCTGTTGAGCAGATCGACAGAGTCCTCGATGAGATCGAACTTCTTGGCAGATGACATCGATCCGACGCATATCGTACACGAGTCCTTCAGTAAACATATCATGCCATTATTTCTGTACATATGCTGGACTTTTCTATTTGTGATTGTTCTTCTCGAATGGTAAAGTATTCGACTTTAATCACACTGTTAACGCCTTGCATTTAATCGCTGTCTAGAATTTCAAAGCCATTACAAAGTATTGAGTACCAATCGAAGAATTCTCCGCTTTGGAGTAGAAATTTGAACAGTTGAATCATGCTGCTCTTCGCTTACTTTGAAGTTGTGGCCACGTATCAGAGCTGATGCTCTTAATAGACAGATCCCCCAGGAAGTAATTGCAATGAAATGGATAAGAATTTGGCAGGACGGGTGAAATAGGTGGGATCGACGGAGGTTATACAGATACCATGAAAGAGGGGATGCAATTTGTGGACGAGTTTAGGTGCAGAACGTGGGTGATTGGAGCGCGCAATGCAAGGGTAAGATCTGAATGACTGTATCATGGTTCAATTACTTGATTACGGTCATAGCAGTTTGATGCTGCCAGACAACTATCGGATTTCACTTGTGCTTGCTTACGATTTGGGAATTCAAACATGAATTTCGCCTTCCCTTAAAGAGCACACGTTAAAAGTGAAATTAGGAGTGTACTCGGCCGGATTCCTTCCTCTCAACGACTTGGACGAGTTTTACAGAGTGATCAAACATCGAAGCCTTTCTCCTGTGTGTAGCATCACATGAATTTTCTATATTTATCATTTTTAAGTGCTTTTTGACATTAACAACAAATAATAGTAGTAGAATAAAACAATTTTCCTGGTAAAAGCAATCACCCGTATGAAAGCAAACACAGTCGGAACGATAAAAGCATCAAACGAAATGCATTCCTGGCGGTTGTCATTGCTCAATGGACTCAAATGACGGAAAGCTTGTGAGGCCGAGCAGTACTGGATTCACTTGGTCGATGCTAAAACATGTAAGATCGTTTGCCGATTGTAAATGGCCACTCTGCACAGGAAAAAGACCAACTTACAACTTTTGAGGCTGGCATGTATTGTGAACTCGTACGTTTGTAGGTGGATGATGAACAAATACGGAAAACTGTCCGACGGAATTGTCGATTGAACCAGCAGTAGATGAGAATATTGGAGGCACTGAAATAATTGAAATAGTTACTTATTCGAGAGCATGGAACTATAGGAATGTTCTGCCCCATGTCCCTCTAGCGAATACAATCCACTGGACTATTATGGCTAACGGAACAATGACGAATGGAGTCGTTACTGGCGTCCACTCAAATAAATCGATGATCAACGGGACGACAGGTGATACAGGTGAACTAGTTAGTTGTTCGTTTCATGTGTTTATTCATAGTGCAGGCCGTATGAGATATGTACGAATTCTTTCACAGGCAAGTGAAACAGTCCAAATTTGGCTTCGAAATAACCCCAGTATCCCGGTTTTATACTGAATTTCTGTTCAAAAAGATGAAGTCCGATGAAATTCTTCAGAAAAATTAGGGAAGAAGGATTTTTAGGATTCAAATTCATGGAAATTCAGCAACTTGAAGGCAAATAACCGAGAAACTATCAGCGCATCGCTATTAAACACCCCGTCTGGGTTATGGGTTATATAGTAGAGCCAGAGTTGTGCTCGATTGCCGAAAATTGGCTAAGTTTAATTTAAAAGGAATAATAGACGGAAAATTAACAAATGGATCTCTATGAATTACCTGTTTACACAAACAAGTAATGTGGAGAGTGGTATACGATGTCGATACATTTCTCGATACTGTGGTGCATAGGATTCGATGATATTGTTTATTGCCGGTGGTATGTTACACAATACGAAGATACCGGTCATCACTATCGTCATCACCGTCATTCTGAAAATGGTATTTTTACATTAAGGGTCGGCGCAACTAGTTCTCTTTTTTTTGAAACCGTACCAACATAAAAAAATTCGGCAAAAATTAGCTTTCAATGAGTGACCCCCAATCTGTCATTTACATGAGGCTTGGAAAGACTGAGTAACCGGAAAAACTCTCGAAAAGCAAACTTTGATGAGCATCTTCGAACTCACTTTCGTTCGTCGACATCCCTTCGTGTCCGAGTATTGCTCTGCGTCAGTTGCTTATGGGTTCGATAGGCTTCACGGACCTTTAAAAAAGTTAATTGACCACCGAAAGAATAATCGAAAACCTTTAAAAATGAAAAATCTCAAGTAACTCGACCAGAGACCAACGTGTGGGTAGCGTAAGCCAGAGGAGGTACAGACCCAATTACTTTCTTATGCTTGTATCAAATACCAGTCATAATCAGGGACCTACATTCAAACAGCATGTCGCTCCACATTTTTACTAGTAATAAGTCTTAGAAATTCCCGTAAATCAATATGGATGGGTGATCAGAAGTATCAATTTATGGGTTGACCAAAAATATAGTATTGGTTACAGGAGTCAAACTTGTGGAGCGCGTCCCAGCACGGGGCTGATCTACGAAAAACATCTGGGTCCTTTGGGGAATCGTAAACTGGAGCACATAGGTGGACAGTAGCTCAAAAATGTAATAAATAAAAACGTCTTTGGCTTATCAATATCTATCATAACACAGGTTCAACCCGATCACACGAACTTGAGGACTTAAGGGATTCTTAGGGGACGAGCAATCTATTGAATTGCCCACAGTAAAGGAATTGAGTTTTAATTCATCCACTCTAAGTGTTCACACCGTTATAATGTGACCCAGCTAGATACACTCGCGCGAGCGGTTGCATCACGGCAGGTGCGCGAAGTGAAAAAAAAGATTTTTGAGAAAAAAAAATGAGAAAAAGATTCTGTTCATACCTTTTGAATGACGATGGCATTCACAACGATAATCGACGTCCATGGTATCAGCAGAATAAATATCACATACATATAGGTCATATAAATCAGCTGATAAGTGGGGTCAAGCCGAAGTGATGAAGGCGTGATTTGACCAGACTCGTTCAGAACAATCTCGAAGAAAGCAGGCAATTTGAACAGCAAGCTAAAAAGATTGTTCATTAGCTAGTGAATTTCAATCGATAAATCGATACCAATCCAATTTCAGACATTTGGAACGAGGTATTTCTAATCAATAGTACTCACCTAAAGATTGCAACTCCACAGATGACCGTTGTCGAGGTTTGTGGAGTTGCCCAGACCCGTTTTTTGATCGGAAAGAACACGGCTATGAAGCGATCGAACGCTATCACTACACATGTCCATACCGAACCTAAATGACAACTGGTACTGTAATTACCAGTAAAGGAGACTTCCCCGAGAGGGNGTGATTTGACCAGACTCGTTCAGAACAATCTCGAAGAATGCAGGCAATTTGAACAGCAAGCTAAAAAGATTGTTCATCAGCTAATGAATTTAATCGATAAATCGATACCAATCCAATTTCAGACATTTGGAACCAGGTATTTCTAATTAATAGTACTCACCTAAAGATTGCAACTCCACAGATGAC